TGTTTGTTCTAGTGATCAATTTTCTAATTTACAGGGAATTAGTGATCTTTCAAGAATGATGGTGGAGACTAAAAAACACATTGTTTATCCAATGGTGTACCTACTTTTGAAGTTGACATTACTTTTGCCAGTGGCTACGACAACTGTTGAAAGAAGTTTCTCAGCTATGAATTTTGTGAAGAATCAACTGCACAACTGTATGAGCGATAAATTTTTGAATGATTGTTAGGTAACATACATAGAGAGTGATATATTTGATAGTGTTGAAAATAAAAAAATCTTACAACACTTTCAAAATATAAAAACACGTATAGAACAATTATAATCTTTGAATATTACGTTGTCTTTATATATATTTATGCTTTGTTTTGTAATATTTAACTTTTTAAATATATATTATCATCATTATTTTATGCATAAATATTTATATATTTTTATATTTATATTATTTAATTTTTATTTTTATATTAAAAAAATTAATTTTGATTTCATTAATTAAAATTTCTGAATCCGTCCAATGAGCTGGTTATATTTCTAATGATTATTAGAAACAATAACCATGTGAAGATTCTCAAGCTTCACGACTACACTTGGTGTAAAATCTTTGCGCTCATTTCATTTCCATCAGAAGATATGTCATGAAATAGAATCACTTTTTTGCCTAGTAACAAAACAAAGTCATGGATATGAGAAATTGCAGCTTCTAAATCCGAAGTTATCTGCACGTATTCTTTGTGCTGCAGCGATGAAATGGTTTCATTTCCAAGGTTTAAGACAACATCTTCGAGATTATTCTGCCTAACACGTGTGGTTTCGGAAGTTTGTGCGTCTTGGGAAATGAAATCTACATAGTGGTGAACGGCAGTGTCGTGTGAATCATCAAGCACGTGTTTGAGAAGCTTCAATGCCAAGCACACGATGAAGACGGTGTTGCAATCAAAGTCTCAAGATCCTTCATGAGAACTTTTGAAGTAGAATTCCTTTATATCCACAAAAGCTGCTACAATTCATTAGCAACAACGAAGTACAGTAAGGTTAAGCAGTGGCTGTACAGTGTTTACTAGAAGAGAAACCTGTGGACCTTGAAATCATATGAATCTAGTTTTCAGTAATAAGCATGCCTTGAGGGCTACCAAATCCACGAAAAGCAGTGTTGCTAGGGAAATTAGTGAAGCAAACCCTTTCCATTATTCTCACATTTGGTATTTCATACACATCATCCGAATGAAACATAACACGTTCAAGGATAGCAAGGATTTCCAGCGTTATTATAAATTTCAATATCCAATGCAAGCACCCTCCTTTCATTTTTATCTCCATCGAATTCCCTTGCATGTAAAAGTGCGGTTTCAACTTTTGTATTTTCTATATTATAATGAGCACCATATTAAAAGCTTACAAATAGATGTATGGCTTTCCCTAGCTTGACAGTTTGGATTGATTTCATGAAGGCTTGCAATTAGTGGCTTTGTTTGATAATAGTTTTTGAAACTTGCAATGAACTTTGGTACAAGAATTGGAAATAAAAAAAAATGAATGGATAAAATGGGTAATTGAATTAGAAAAATGGATATGTGAATAGATATTTTAGAAATTGGTTTGGGATTTTGGATAAAGATGTAAATGGATTAAAATTAAAAATGAAAATTAAGAATGGGTAATGAAAGTGGATACAAATAGGTAATAAAAAATTATTTGTATAGAATTTGAATGATGATGAACGGGAAGAATCCCTCCACTAATATTTTCCAGTGATGCACACCTTGACTGAATTTAACCCAAAAACCACACTTGAGTTTTCTTCACCAACCTTTGATAAAATGAATGAACAAATCTTGAACCACTGAGTAGCTTGCAACTGAAACAACTGTCATTTGAATCCACTTGAATTTTCCATAATTCTCTGGATCTCTGATCAAAATAGAATAAATTTTGAATCACTTTGAATTTTGGTTGAATCAATCTCTGAGAAAATAAATCCACAGATGAACACAGTCTGGACTGATGGACCTTTGATCATGATAACTTGGATCAAACTTCTTCATAAATCACTTCTTGATAACTTGATAAACTTCAACAAAAGACAAATTGACCTTAAATACACATTGTCTGAGAGATAGACCACTGTCACAACTAATTTGCAATTCAAGCAATCCTTTTATGGTTTGACCAAGATGAGGTCAAATTTCCATCTGATCTTGACCACCACTGAGTAGCTACACTGGACTCCAAACCATGCCTTTGTCATCAATCTCCCTGCAAAACCCTAAACACACAGAGAAGAAGAAACAAGCAGACTGCAACATATTTTTGGTATTTTGGTTAGAGGTTAGTAAACATAAACAAACATAAAGCAAGTAAGAAACCCAGATGCTTGGCGATCTCCCTCAGAAACAAATCCATAAAAGAGGGCAGGAAGAATAATGTTTTTGATATTGTTTGTGTGCAAAGATGCAAATAATAAGTGAAATCTTAGGGTTAAGAATTAGGAGATTACAGCTGGCGAGGCCTGGAGAGCTTCTAGTGAGACCTCTCGCCTGGCAAGCATGATAGAACTTCACATCTCAATAACATGAACGGTCGCCTGGAGATACAACCCCTCGTTTGGCGAGGATGACATTATGAAACCAAAACAAAACAAAAAACTTAATAGAAAGGGGAAATAAGCCATAACATCAACACATGTCATCTTAATGCATCCAATAATACAACACATCATGGTTTATCACAACAAGACATGCAAAGCATCAAAGACCACATGCATGAAACAAAATAATCACATATAACATGTTTTCACACAAACCCTAATTTCCTAAAATGGATTTCTTTCCCCCAAAGTTAAAGATATCCAGAAACCCACTTTAGATTGATTAAGATGATGAAATATTGGAGATGAGATGGTGATGATTCACGGTTTGCTTCTTTCTTCTCTTCTTTCTCCTCTCTTATTAACTTTCTCTTCTTTCTTTTGATACAATCTAGGACAAAGTTGGAAACGAAAGTTATAAAAAAATATTTTATGAAGAGATATTTTTCCTATAAAGTAATTGATCATTAATTGATGTTACTAAAAAAAACTATTTTTTTTATAAATTAACAAAGGTCAATTAAGTTAAATAAGAATTAAACTAATATAAATTTTTTAATTATTCAATTTGTCTAAATTAATAAGAAATAAAACATATAGAAATTTAATTGATTTTAACTTACGATGAATATAATAGTTTCGTGGATATGAGATATTACATATCTCTGGTATATATTATGTTTATTTGCCTTTTACAAAATACTCATTTGATAAATAATTAATAACAATGGTGTTATTCACTAAAAAAAACTATATGGATTTCAATTTGGTTTTGTTTCCAGATTTTAATTTGTCATCCACAATTGAATTTGACACCATCACACTATATTTAGAGAACGTTATATTTTTTTATAAATATCAATTTTATTTTTAAAATTACTTATTTTTATCGGAAATTTTTGAAATTTTAATTTTTGTTAAAATTTTCCAAATTTTTTTATAAAAAATAAAAAAATTTTAAAATAAATAAAAATTTTAAAAATTAATATTAAAATTTTTTTACACCATAAAAAATTTGAAAATTTCAAATAAATTGCTGCACTTTTCAAAAATTTTGGTAGTGTTAAAATTTTTTTATTGAATATAAACAATTAAAATTTTAAAAAATCCAAAAAAATAAATTAATATCGATTTTTTTGAAAAATTCAATATGCTAATTTTTTTTACAAAGAAATCCATAAAAAATTTGTATTAAAAATTCAAAAAAAAAAAATTCGAAAATTTAACCTATTACCAAAAATTCAAAAAGAAGTATCTAAAAATTCGTTAACATTTTTTACTCAATTCTCCTTGAAAATTTTGAGAATTATGAAAATATGCGGGATGAACTAACTTAGGGTGTGTTTGGTTCGGGGTAGATGGAGGGGAGGGGAGGGGAGGGGAGGGGAAATTTTTAATTAAATATGTTTGGTTCAAATTTTAGGAGGGGAGGGGAGGGGAGGGGAGGGGAGCAAAATCCCTCCAAAATACATTTTTTGGTTCCCTCCGAATTGGGGGGATTTGGAGGGGAGGGGAGGGAATATGAGTTTTAATATTTAAAATTTATTATATTTACTAAAATATCCTCAGTTTAATTTTATTATTTCAAAACTATTTGTTATCTTTTGTGTTACTGTTTTTTCTCGATTGTTTTCATCAAATTATTATAATTGTTCTCCGCCTTCAAATTATTTTATAATTTTTATAATTAATATAAATCATAATCATTGTCTTTTTTTTATAAAAAATTATGTTTCGTTATATTCGTTTTTTTCTTTTAATTTTGTTATGTACTCTATCATATTTTCTTTTATATCAAATTGTAAACCATATCATTTTATTTATTTTTGTTTATTCATTTTATTAAATATTTTTAACCATTAATATTTAGTAATAAGTTATTTTATATATTTTTTTTGTTATATGATTCATCATAATTTAAACGATGTTATTGACATATAGTTTAATTTATGTTGGAAAGTTATAAGTCGAATCAATTATACTCAATTTTTTAACTTTATGTGACAAATAAATATTTTTTTAATCACTCAATATTAGAAATTTTATTACCAACAAAAATACGCACGAATTTTTCACATTTTAATATCGTATGACTTATATAAGATCATAAGGATAAAACTGTAAATTATTAATAAAACCCCTCCCCTCCCCTTCTGAACCAAACACATTTTTAATTAAAATCCCTCCCCTCCCCTCCCCTCCTCTCTTTTGAACCAAACACTTATTTGATTAAAAAATTCCTTCACCTCCCCTCCCCTCCCCTCCCCTTCATTAAAATCCCTCCCCTCCCCTCCCCCTCATTTGAACCAAACAGACCCTTAGTGTCGGTGAGGCGACAAGTTAAAACCCTCGTCTTTCTCATAGTTCCTTGCATTTATTTTATCATTTTCTTCTCATAGAGCTCTTCAACACTATGGAAGACGAAAATGTTAGAGACGCATTTTTGAAGAAAAATTACCATGAGAATTGTCCTGGTTGCAAAGTTGACAGAGCAAAAGAGCTCAAAATTGATGTTTCATTTCGAAATCTCTTCAACATTTGGACGGTGGTTTTATGCAGCTGTAAGCTAACAATTCAAATACATTTCTTATCATCATTCATCTTTTTCTACTCATATGTCTTTTTTCTCTCTTTTACAGCTCTTCCTGTATCATCTCTCTTCCCTTACCTATATTTCATGGTAACAACTTATCTTTACTTCTTTCAAATTTCTAATTGCTTCTCATGAATGAAATCATAAACTGTTCAAACAATATTTTGTTTTAGATAAGAGATTTCAATATTGCAGAAAGAGAGGAGGACATAAGTGCCTATGCTGGTTATTTAGGTATGATTACTGTTTTTGTTGTGTGATTGTAACCTCTGTAATACTGACGACGTGTGTCTGCGTCTGCGTCTGTGTATGTGTTTTAGGTTGTAACTTCCTTTCTTAGATGTCTTTTATTTTTGATCATAAGGTGACTGTTAAAATGCCGTAGGATCTGCATTCATGTTTGGAAGATCTTTGACATCTATATTTTGGGGAGTTGTAGCTGATCGTTATGGAAGAAAGCCTATTGTGATTTTAGGGGTTATCTCGGTGTAAGTAAATATATAATTGAAGTTTGTTTAGAATTTATTTGAGTTTTTTCTATTGACAAAAAGCATATGACTGTTTGAAAGATGTTATAGAAACTATTTATCGCACGCGTGCGTAAACTGTTTTTAAGTTGTTTTCATAAGTTTCTGCAGAATAGCTTATGAAAGCAGCAGATATGAAAAATGTTTGACTTTATGTTTTCTTTTTGTAAAAGTAGTTTGAACTTAGTACTTATATGATAGACATTTTTGTGTGAAATTGAGCTGTTTATCCAATAAGAGCCTTTAAGTTTTTTCATTACTTGATTTCAGTATTATTTTCAACATACTATTTGGCCTTAGCACAAGTTTTTGGATGGCGGTTGCTACACGATTTTTTCTTGGATGTTTAAATGGTTCGCTTGGACCAATGAAGGTACCAATCAATACATATATAACTTAATGTTTGATCCTTTAACATTTGGGAACGGTTATAAGTTTGTCATTTGTATATTTGGATATTAGTTGATTCTTTTTGTCACGTCTTTTTCTGATGACAGGCTTATTGTACGGAAATTTTTCGAGAAGAAAAGCAAGGTCTTGGACTCTCAACTGTAAGCTTCTATAATCTTTGTTCGACAGTTGTTAATGCCTGACACCACCATGGCATCGACAGATGTTACATTCAATCTCTTCTAGTTCTATCCACACATTAAGTTCATAGCACGTGTTATTGTTTCATTGATATTTTCTTCTATTAGTGTTATTGCTTCACTCAAACCTCTCTCCTTCAACAATAATAATTCATAATGTGATGTGATTTCAGCTCAGTGCAGCTTGGGGCATAGGTTTGATAATTGGACCAGCATTGGGTGTTATTGTTTCATTGATATTTTCTTCTATTAGTGTTATTGCTTCACTCAAACCTCTCTCCTTCAACAATAATAATTCATAATGTGATGTGATTTCAGCTCAGTGCAGCTTGGGGCATAGGTTTGATAATTGGACCAGCATTGGGAGGTTATTTGGCTCAGGTACTTGATGCTTCATATCTATTTTAATTGAAGACACTTAACTTGTTTCGCTAATACTTTGTGTGAAATTTACATTGCAGCCAGCAGTGAAATACCCTCATCTATTTCCAAAAGACTCATTTTGGGATAAGTAAGTGGATTTTTCTTCATTTTTAGTTTCATAATATTTTAACAAATTTGCTTTTCCTTCCTGCCTAATTGTTGATGTGGTGATTGTAATTGTCAAAACATAAATCTTGTTGCAGGTTTCCATATTTCTTGCCTTCCCTTTCAATATCAGCTTTTGCATTTGTTGTTGCTATCGCCTGCATCTGGCTTCCAGTATGACTATTTTTCAGTTCTATTATAATGTCATTTTTAGCTCAGCCCTTCTTTTCAGTTCTATTATATATATATATTTCTCTTTACCATCAATATAACTTCTTAAAATGTCTGCATCACTCTAGGAAACACTACACAACCACCCTCATAGCAACGAGTCTATTGATGATGCTGAAGCTTTAGAAACTGGAAACAAAAGCATCCAAAAAGATGAAAACCTCTTCCTAAACTGGCCCTTAATGTCATCTATTATCGTGTACTGCATTTTCTCACTTTATGACGTTTCATATCAAGAGGTACCATTCCTACTTAAGGTCTTATTGAATTGATTTATTTGAACTTATCTATAAGCACTTGTGAGACTGTTGGGAAAGTTCATGAAAACAAGTTATGATTCCTCGTTAAACTGTTTTCAACTATTTCCTTAAGCTCTCCAATAGAACTTATGAAAATAGCTTATAAGATATACTTAAACAGTTTGAATTTTTTAATCATTTATTTCAGTAATAGCTTATATATAAACCTTATATTCACTCAAATAAACAATTTAGTTTTGCATATTCGATAAATGTTTTAGTTTTCTTTTCTTCTATATATCCAAGTCTGTATTTATCTTGATATCTCATTCTAACTAGCTTAGTAGTAGAACAGATATTTAATCTAATATGATATATGTAAACACCATTCTACTTCATGATAGGTTTTCTCATTATGGGCTGTTAGTCCTAGAAGATTGGGTGGTTTGAACTTTACAACTGATAATGTAGGCGATGTTCTCGCAATATCAGGTACATCTTTGATATGCGTTTGCATCACTAGAGATTTATATATATTAGGAATAACATATTTTCTTCCTAAATATATTTATTCGAATATATCACATGTACTTTTGTGATTTGTACATGATGCCATATGATAACTTCCTTCAAGATATTCTGCGTAATAAGTATCTGACCTCTTCTCAAATGGTCAATGATCAGGTATTGGTCTTATTATCTACCAGCTTTCCCTCTACCCATCAATGGAAAGAGTTTTCGGACCTATAAGATTTTCTTGCATCTCCGGGGTAAGTTTTCGTCATTCATAGAAATTAATGCAACTCAGAATTACATTGGTTCTTGTTCTAAAAGTGTCTTGTTACCTTATGTAGGTTTTATCCATACCTCTGTTGCAAAGCTACCCCTTCATAGCAATGCTTTCTGGCACGACACTCTACCTAGTTATTAATATCGCTTCTCTTCTGAAGAATGTTCTAAGTGTAAGTTTATCTTTCTGTTTATTTAACATCATGAGTGATGTAGTTTAAAAAATTATTGCATTGGCTTCATTAGAATCGTGCTCGGGAGAATTCAAACTATTACAAGCTTACCTAATTGTATTTTTTTTTTCTGAATTTCAGATGACCATAGTCACTTGTTTGTTTATTCTGCAAAATAGGGCAGTGGTAAGTTTTGTTCCATTCTAAATTTTTTTTCTTTCCAAAAGTTGATATTATATTTTGAGGAAATTGTGGCATAAATGGAATGTTGATTTGGAAATCAGGAACAACAACAAAGAGGTGCAGCTAATGGCATTTCTATGACTGCAATGTCAATATTCAAAGCAATTGGTCCAGCCGGAGGTGGTGCAGTGTGAGTTGTTGCCCTTTGATTTCTCCACTTATCTTTCATTGTTCCAAAATGTGACATAAAATTACTTATTAATGTAGATGTTTTGTAATTTGTACAAACTTTCATGTTAGTTTTCATATTTGAATACAATGATACATCAAAAACATTATAGTATATTCTATTTTCTTATAGCGATATTGGTCAATGCAGATTAGCTTGGTCACAAAAACGGATGCATGCATCTTTTCTTCCAGGTATGAATGATCCTCAACTAATTTTAATGACTCAATTTCAATATCCTATTCCTGATGTTTATTGTTGTGTATTTAACTGCAGGAACTCATATGGTGTTCTTTGTCTTGAATGTTGCTGGAGGACTCGGAGTGCTATTGATCGTCACACCATTTTTGAGACAAAAGAAGACAACACCCTCTGACCAGTTAGTTACACTAGCATAAATGAATATTTGTTATTAAGGAATGAATCATCTTAAGCTACTATGGTGAAACAGCTACCTGTATCAATTGTGTCGAGTTACTTCTCCTTTAGGATTCACCTTCACCTTGTAAAGTCATTTCGCATCAATTTTCTTCTTGCCTTGAGGCAATTTGACAAGTGACCAAGTGTTGTTGACTTCGATGGACTCGAACTCCTCATTCATTGCTTTCACCCACTTCGAGTATTTTAATGTCTCAACTGCATTGACTGGTTCGACATCTGCTGAGAAAGCATAGTATACCAGCTCACCTTCTTGATCGACCACATCATCTTATGTAATTACACATTCTTGCAACCTTACAAGCATGTGTCTTATTCTTTGAGGTCTGCTTCACCTCTGACTTCTTCTTGTCAAACTTCTCTTTCGACTTCATTGGTTGATTTTTCACAAGAGATTTTCACTGAATCTTTCTTGACATTTTCAGTCCAATCTCATTCTTTAAGCTCATATATGATTATTTCCCTGCTGATCACTACCTGCTTATTCGCTAGGTTGCATAACTTGTAACCTTCAGTCGAATGATATCCTATCAAGATCATTTGATTTGACTTATCATCAAGTTTCCTTTCCAACTGATCTGGCACATGGCTATGTGTTATAGATCCAAACACATTAAAGAGACTGAGGCTAGGCTTGACACCAGACCAACATTCTTTTGGTGTGATTCTTTCAAGCTTCTTCGTCGGACATCTGTTTAATATGTATGTTGCTGTCAAAACCGTTTCTCTCCATAATTCTTTGGGTATATGTTTTCCATTCAACATACTTCTCGCCATGTTCATGATGGTTCTGTTCTTTCTTTCTGCTATTCCATTTTGCTGTGGAGTGTAGGGTGGCACCACTTCATGCACAATCCCTTCTTTTTCACATAATGCATCGAACTCTTTCAACACATACTTTCCACCACCATTTGTCCTCAGAATTTTCAGCTTTCAACCACTTTGTCTTTCGACCATATATTTGAATATGGCAAATATCTCGATCAAATCACTTTTCTTCTTGATGAGATAAGTCCACAACTTTCGACTGTAATCACCTATGAACGTGACAAAGTATTTGTTGCCTACAATCGAAAATCCACCTAGATTGGACCACACACATCAGAGTATATGACTTCTAGAATTGTCTTTGACTTCCTTTCTGCATCCTTGTTAAAGTTATTCTTCTGTTGTTTAGACTGAACACACTCTTCACAGACTTCACTTGAAATGTCAATTTCAGGTAATCTTGAAGTCATATTTCTTCTCTTTAGCTCTCTGATGTCATTGAAGTTGAGATTACCTAATCGAAAATGCCACAACCACTAATCTCTGTTGGCTGCATTTGCTACGAACTTGTGCTCCATCACATTGAGTTCAATCTTGAAGGTTATATTTTGAGACATTTGAGCCTTCAAGATCAACCTACCACATGCGTCGAGAACTCTCATCATCTTGTCTTTGATCGACATATTGTAGTTCTTTTCGACTAGCTGCCTTATACTGAGCAAATTACTCTTCATGCCTGGTATGTACAACACATTGAAAATTATTGACCTCTTGTCATCTTTTCTCATAATCAGAACATCACCAATACCTTCAGTTGCTATAGTATTGTCATTTGAAATTTTCACCATGTTCTTCGTCAAGGGCTTCATGTTGACAAACCAATCTTTCCTTCTAGTCATGTGTGATGAGCATCATGAGTCCAAGTACCACTGGTCCTAGAATCTCTCTTCGTCTCTTGTTGTGACCATCAACAACATCTCTTATTCTTTATGTTTCGCCAACTTTGCATCAATTTCTTAATTCTTCTTCTTTTCTGGACAATCACTAAAATAGTAAGATACTTCTGACAATTGAAACACTGAATGTGACTTTTGTCAGACTTTCAACCACCACATCTTCCTCTACCTGCACCACCACCTCTTTGGTTGCCTTGGTTCCAGGGTTTTCTCTAATTCGACCAGTTTCCTTCATGCTGATTTCGATCAGTCAAATTGGTGTAACCTCTTATACCTTTGTTGGCATTCCAGTTTCCTTTGCCTTTTCTTTCATTTTCTGACTGCGCCTGCAAATCCATATCACTCTTCGACTTTCCTGCAGCTCTTTCAGCCATCCTTTGTTCATGAGACTCAAGCGTCCCTTAAAGCTCTTCCTTAGTCAATGCTGACAAATCTTTCGACTCTTCTATGACTACTACCACGTGGTCGAATTTTAGAGCCAATGACCTTAAGATCTTTGACACAACCGATCTTGATGTCAACACTTCTCCACATACCTTGATTTGATTCACCAACTTTATAACTCTGGTGAAGAAATCCGTTATACTTTCATTGTCTTCCATCTGAATTTACTCATAAGTCCTCTAATGAGTTTGTAACCTCACTTATTTCACCTTTTCAGAGCCTCCAAACGATTTTTCAAGAATCCCACAAGCTTATAAAGAGAGCTTTATAATCTTTTTTGTTGATTTACATCACTAACGTTTTCAAAGTTATTTGTATCAACACATTGATGGATTATAAAGAGAGCTTTATAATCTTTCTTCTTTAATTCTTTATATGCTGTTTTCTCCTTATCTGTCGTAATTTTTACAAGCGGTGATAATCCCTCATTCACAAGATCCCAAAGATTTTGGTAACAGGAAACCAACTTAATCTGCTTGCACTAATTCTCATAATTATCTTTCTTGAGAATTGGAAGATTTGCTGGAAAGTGACTGTTCGGGTGATTCATCGCCATCGCAGTTGTTCTTCCCTTGAATCAAAACCGAAGCTCTAAATACCAGATATTGGAATTCAACAACGACCTAAGGAGAATTCCTACTAAATCTTGATCTCAAAATTGTTATGTAATGACAATGAACAAAAACAAGAACACGTTTAAAGAAGATGAGTATGAACTGCAAAGTAACTCTCTGCCCACAACTGTGGAATTTTATTATCACTTTACAACTGCAAAACCGTCATTATCAAACTTGATGATTACAATGATAAAGGTTTATCCCTATTTATAGATTTATGTTAACTTGCATCTCAAGGTAAAACTCAAACTATAAAAGCCCAAAAATATCTAATCTAATCTTTATAAATCAAATATGATCTTTCTAAATCAAATCTAATCTTTCTAAAATAACGAATTACATATTTAACAATAATGAAGTGGGAATTCATGAAAATGAAAGGTGTTGCTATTATTTGGTTCTAGTCTTGGTGTCAAGACAACTTCGATGCAAACTAGGCATCATTTTACATAACTTTGTTTAGATGATTATGAGCTTATACATAGAAACTTATGCCAATGATTCTAGGGACATTTTTTAGAGAATAGACGACAATGTAAACAATAAAAGAACCAGAATCAGAAGCGATAAGAGCATCTTGTTAACAAAGAGGAAACAAATCATAGTGAATATATGCATGATAAATTTGAACCTTAGATGATGGAAAAGTGAATTTTGGGGGGGGGGGGGGGGGGGGGGTTACTCTCGTTGTTAGAGGGTATGATTGCACTTATTAAGGAGTGGAACAAGGACATTTTGAAACATATTCGAACATAAGAAAAAGATCATAGCTAGATTGAATGACATTCATAAAATCTCGCACTATGGTTTTAGTAGATATCTTGAGAATTTGAAGTGTTATCTTTATGAACAATTAAATCAAACTCTTTATCAAGAAAAATGTATTTGGTTTAGAAGTAGAGAGGTAAATGGATTACAAGTGGGGATAAGAGTACTAAATATGGCTACTCGAAGACTATTGTGCCTAGATGGAAGAATAAAAGCATGGCGCTTCGAGATGAGAATATAGAGTTGAAATATGACCCTAAGAAGTTGAAAGAGATATCGATGTGACATTTCTTGAGCTTTTTTTATGAGGACCAAAAATATAGGGAGTCAATTGTACTATTTTTCTCTTATATTACTTATTTGGCAGATAATTAGGTGAACTTGAAAATCATGCCTTCCATGTTGGAGATCTAGAAAGCTATTTTTGATTTGAGCTCCCATAAAGCCTTAGAAGAAGATGATTTTCCATATTTTTTCACTAACATTGTTGGGGTAAGTGTAGTTCCATCCTTACATCATTTTTAGCAAGGTCTGGGGTGATCCTTTGTTGATTGGTTATGCAAATAATACACTTTTGGTGCTCATTTCTAAGATTGACTAACCACAGTTTCTCACGTTGTTTCTTACTATTTCTATATTCAATATGAACTATAAATGTTGGGATTTAAGAGTGAGAAGTTAAGCCCCACATCGACGAAACGAAGGAAATGTTAAGTTCATAAGAAAGAGGACCCATGTCTCTAATGCCTTAAGATTTTGGGTGGTTATGTGGTGTTAAGGTCTCTTGATCATGAATATTTAGCCTATTGACACTCTCGACACTTCTAGACTCCCTAGTAAGTGGTATTAAAGCCATAATTAGGCTTAGTGAGGGAGTGGAAGTTGATCCTAGTGTGGATCAGAGTCTACTAGCATAAACTGGCTGATTCGAGGTACGTGTTTTATTAATAGTATTCTGCTGATTGCTATTATTGACACGGGTACAACATATTTGTTTGTTTCACTTGATTATGCTGAGAGGTTGAGTTTAAAATTGTCTTATATGGTTAAAAGTATGATTGTTGATATCCCAGCAGCAGGTCCGGTAACCACTTCGTGAGTTTGTTTGAATAGTCCACTTACTATTTTCGGTAAGAATTTTGGGATGGATTTAGTATGTCTACCTTTAAGAAATCTCAATGTTATCCAATGGAATGAACTGGTTAGAGTTCAACCGTGTTCATATCAACTAATATGACAAGACAATGACATTTTCAGAGTTTGATACAAGTGACGAGTTGCTTGTGTCTGTAGCCTTAGTGCTAGTTAGTGAGTCTTTGCTTGTGATAAAGGAATTTTTGTAAGTGGTCTGTCAGCTATTTAAATTCTTAAGGTTGCGATACTCTTAAGATATCGAGTTTGGTTATT